GCAGGAAGATGCCATGTTAGCTGCTTTTGATTAGGACTAAAAGTACTGGACACTGCTTCACGTGAGGTAAAGGCCTTTTTTGGCCTCAGGAGCTCTGGTTTTTCCCTGGTTTGTTAAATAAATCCCACTATTGTTGTTCCCTGAGCCTGATTAATCTTGCAATTGTGCACACAGGTGAAGAACTCAGACAGTGACCAATAAACCATTTGGGCAGTTGTCCTTGGTCAGTTTTAGTGGCTCTTGCTGCCCTTCTATCAGGGTTCGGCTACTAACTGATTCTACCTCGTAGACCCTTCCCAAACACATGGATTCTAACTTTGCTTTCTTGTAAGATGAGTGGTTTGCTCTCAATGAACTGTGGGGTCTCCTCCAGCTCTCTGTGTATGTGCTGAATGCATCCCCTCTACATTTAGTTACACGAGGGTCCTGGGCCAGAGATTTCTCCCCGCAGCTGAGGCAGTCGGATATGGGAAGACAGACCAAAGAACACTTCTGGCACATGTACTTTCTCTACAACTACCCTTCATCACTCTTCACTGGGCTCACTGTCATTAGTGAATTCATGACGCTCTGTGTGCTGACTTGGTGCTCAGTTTTCCCCACGTTCTGTAAAAGATAACAAGTAAGAGGTGACCAGTTCCACCCTCATGCCACGGAAACACTCACTTGGCAATGTCTGCAGTAAACACACATTAAATAATGTGAATAAGTAACTCGAGAGGCCAAGACACTGAATGAATTAGATGCAGAGCACAAGATCTCAACACTGGCTCTCTGTGAAGCTGCCTAGGAAGTCTGGGGTCATTGTTTAAACACAATGCATGCCAAAGCTTTAGCACTTGGTGCTATTTGGCCTCCATGAGCAAGTGCCAGTGCTTCTGAGAGCTTTTGTTCTTTAATAAGTTGAGCAAACATGAAGTACAAGTGCTGTGACCTTGTCTTGATTCATTGTGCTGTGTAATTGGAAGAAGCAATTCTAGTTGGCCTTTTCCCTGTGAAGCAACAAGCTTGGCAAGAGAAGAGACCTCCAACATTTGTCCCTGGGATGGCTGAAGAATCTCAGGGTCCAGAGTTCCACAGACCCTCATATTTGGTTAACAGCCCAGTTTCTCATTTGAGAGGAGAGGCTGGCCCTGGAAATTTGGAGAACTAGGTCATCATATAACCCTTGTCTCCAGAATCATAGACTCTTGGAATTAGAAAGGCTTATTGAAGCCCCCCCCCCCCCCCCGGCAGTGCAACAGGTTAAAGTGCAGCACTACGAAGCCAGCTGTACAAGTTCGATCCCAGCCAGAGAGGTGACCCATGGGGCACAGTAGACCTCTCCTGTCTCCCGCTGCTCCCCTCAAAAGGGTACATCGTCAGTCTGCTTGTTCTGCTCCCCACCCTATCTCTCATGAATCTCTCACCCCCTGTACTCTGGCCTGTACCTAAGATTTATTTACTTATGCATACAAGAGGTATGCCTCTTGTATGCATAAGTAAATAAATCTTAGGTAAAAAGGCCTATAGAAGCAAAATCAGCCTTGAGTATGAATTAAATGGCAAAATATGCTCAAAGGATGAACACATACAGGCGAATCAAACACAGAGCAGAATAAACAGCAGTGTCGCTGCTTCACCAGGTCTCAGGTCTGTTGAATGTGGCTACAGCCCGGGGCTCTGAGACGGGAGTGAGGCACCAAGACAGGAAAGGCCCCCCCAGTCACGTGATTTGACGCCCAGTTTGCAGCAGAAGAAAATGAGGCACAGAGGCTTTTGAAGAGGCAAATGGATGAGTCATTTGACCTCAATCCCCACAGGCCAGGCCATGCGCACCAGGTCTTTTCCTCCCAGGCCCTCCGGAGCCCAGTTCAGCCACGGACTGCATCTGGGTCTCCTCTTCTCCTTCCTCCTCCCCCCCACACTCCATTTTCACCCTCTGCATTGATGTCCAGCTCCTCCCATGCTCCTCTCTGCCTAATACGCATAGAAACTTGCAGTGTCCTTATTCTGAAATCAGATGCTCCATTTTACATCTTTTTTAAAAAATTTAAAACAAGGATATGTTCAATATTTTGTATTTATCTCTCTAAATACCAGTACATTATGTGAATTGCTTAGTGACTCTGCCATAAAAAAAATGAACCTCTTTCCTCGCCTGCTCCAGAGGTCCTTTGCTCTGAGACTATAGCCCTGGAACAGATTCTTTTCTCTTTTGAATTCTCCAAATAAGGCGTGAGAGTACACAGGAACCTCAAATAAGAGCAGACCGTAATGTTCAGTGTTTCCTGCTCTTGGGTTTGCTCAACACACAGGCCAAAAATGTAAAAATCTCACAACAGATGCAACTCCCAATTGTGAAGCTGGGTCTTCTCTGGGTAAACCCTTCTTGGGGGAGCTGAACTTTGCTCCCCACTTGGTAAATGCAAAATGAAAAATTCAGTCTGTAGGGAATGTGGAGACAGAGAAAGAGGAGCAGGCTGAGAAGATGGGTGGTGATTTTTGAGATTGTGAAACCTTGGAAGCCAAGAGCCCTACTTAGTCAAACTAGCTAACACGTTGAAACTGAGGCCTGTGACTCTCAGAGAAGAGCATAATGGGGCTGCAGATAAGGAGGAAGAAGCATCTTAAGGATTCTTAAAATCCAAGAAAATAAAATGAAGCTCCTCCTCTCTTTTTGAGGGAGGTTATAGCATGACTTTCTTTTATTAAAATTACTTTTTATTGTAGTGACATTGGTCTATAACATTATATAGGTTTCGGGTGTCCAACATTATAATTTGACATCTATATAGTCTACATCGTGATCCTCACCAGAAGTCTAGTTTCCATCCATCACCATGCAATTCATTGACCCCTTTCCCTCTGGTAACCACCATTCTATTTTCATAATCTAGCAGTGTTACTACTTTGTTCATTCAGATATTTAAAAAACCAGGCTCATTTGCTTCTGAAAGGCCAGCAGGTTCTTAAGTCTCTTCTGTCACCAAATTTGTACCTGAGTCCAGCACGTAGCTGTGCTTTCTTATAAATCAGCATTGTTCTCCTCCATTCACTACCACGTAATTAAATAACAAAGTTCACAGTAAAAATGACGTATTACTAGATGTGCGTGAGATAGCCTTCTCAACAGATGCCGATGGATAACCAGATATCCATAGACCTGAAAGACAGGCAAAGAAAGGAAGAATCTTGACTTACACCTTATGCAAACATTAATTCCCAGTGGACCATAGTTTTAATGTAAAAGTCAAATGAAAAAACTTCTAGAAAAGAGGTATAGGAGAAAATATTTGCGATCTAGGCAGATAAAAAATTCCTAGATTGACAACAAAGCACAGCCCATAAAACAAAATGAAAAATTTTAGTTTAAAATTTGATCAACCTAAAAAATGTGTGTTCTGTAAAACCCCGTTGAGAAGCATGAATGGTTTAGCTGACCAGCCAAGAACTAGTTGGGGACACAGGTTTCCATTTCTCTGGGGTGTATACTTTGGAGCGGAATTGTTACATCACACGGAGATGCACACCCCACTTGAAACGAATTTGACACTTTTCCCAAAATGGCTGTCTCATTTTCAGGTCCAGTGGGAGTTGTGGGGATCTACATCTTCCTCAGTGTTCATGCTGTCAGCTCTCTCTATTGCTTCATTCTAGTGGGTATCAAGTTGCCTGTCTTTGTGGCTACTGTTTGCATTCTCTGTGGCTAGTAAGTGTTGTGCATGGTTGTATAGACACACTGATCAGCCGCTCACACTGATTCTTTGGTGAAGTGCCTGAAAAACATTCTGCCCTTTCTTGCCTGTGACTTTGGCTTACATTTCTTTGTGTATTCATGGTACACACACTTCTCAGATGGATGCTTTGAGAATATTTTCTCACAACCGGTGACTTGACTCATTTCTAATGTCTTGGCATGAGACCTATAGGGTTCCATAAAACACCAGTCATTTTTAGCCCATGTGGTCACTTACCTGAGGGAATGTTTCAGGTAGCCTATTTGACCACTTACCTGAGGAAATGTTTCAGGTGTGCAGGCTAAACAGGCCCCTCTGAGGCTTGAGCTAGTTGTCTCTCTGGCTCTTAGAGTGGCTGTGGTGCTGAAAGCTCTTTCTATGCCTCTTGGACAATAAAACAATGGTATCGCTGATTATTTTTCTTGGGTCTGTGTTTCACTCTTTCCATTTTGTTGCAACAAGTTCTTTGTCTAGAGCTGATATGACTAAGTAGAAAGAGCCTCAGGTGTTGTTTATAATAGGACTCTCATGTTCACATGCCATGGCTTCTTTGGAAAGCGTTGATTTCTGTGTGGGAAATTCAGAGTCACAACATTCATTGAAAAAATTGCATCTTTTTGAAAACAAAACAAAACAAAACAAAACAAAACAAAACAAAACAAAACAAAACAAAACAAAACAAAACAAAAACAAAAACAAAAACAGAAGCTTTTCCAGTGGACGGCGTTGGCTTGTGGGTATATTCCAAATGCTTGGGAAGCCTGGAACACGGGAATAGTAAAACGGACCAGTGAGAATCTCTCGCTTTCTGTTACTGATCACATGTGGCTCAGCCTCCAGTGGAAGGCCGTGAGGAGCCTTGTGTGTGACCCTGACGGAGCCCTCTCCAGTTTCCAACCTGCAGCTCATGTCTCCTCCCCTCCTGAGCGCACTCCTTTCCTCCCCTCAATTTAAAAGATGAACAGTTCACTTAGCAAATGGCTAAGGAGCGCTTCCCACTTAGCAGCATTTAGAAAACAAGTATGTGTAACTAGCTGATCACACTTTTAACTCTTCCTGTGAAAACGAATTTAAAAAGCGTCCTCCCTTCTCTGCTCGCACTGGTGTTCGGGAAGGAGCAGCTGTCACTGGGTGTGAACTGGGTTCTCCCACCTGGCTGTCTCCTCCTGCCCTTTTTCTCGTGGGGGAACTTGTACCATTACCAGCGCTCCTCTTTCCTTAACAAAGTGTCGTTCATCCCTCCCCTTCTCTACATGTGTGTCTGACAGTGTCTGAGCTCACATCAGGAGGACACGCTTGCTGACAGGGCTGGAAGCCGGGTAACCAACGCTTCCCTCTTCTTCCCTTTGGGTGATCAGCACTGGGTGACGTTGTAAGGTTGTGCTCAAGGCCCACGGGCTCGAGTCCCGGGGCACCTCAGCGCCCGGGGTGCTAGCTAGAAGCTGTCTGCCCCCCTTGCTCCTCACGCGCACACCGGGATCATTTCCCATATAAACTGCGGGCGCATGCAGCGTTGCCTCAGGTCTGTTTTCGGGGAATGGGGCTGAGACGCTAAGACGGGAGCCCCGACGGAGGGAGTAAGGAGGACCAGGAGTCTTCTGCTGACGGCTGTGCTTCACCTGGAAGGAGAAATCAAACAGAGAACAAGAAGTTCGCCTTGACGAGGGGAATCAACAGGGGAGCAACCAACGTCAAGACTGGAAAAGAACTTCTTGGGTCAACTATGTAGATAACAAGAAAACGAAGACAATTTTAAGATTAGTTCTAAATGGGATCTCTAGGGAGATGCAGCCAAGAGGAAAGGCTGCCCTGTCCCTGAGGAGGAGAACGCCAGGGATGGAAACCGCAGCGGGTGGGATCTCTGAGGAGATTTTCTCCACTCAGATGCTGCAGAGCTGGGCTCAGTTCCAGCGCTGACTGTCACAGCGCTTTATGAGAACCTCGTGGCCCGGGAGGTCAATGGGCTGTCATGCTAGAGCTGACTTCCCCAGCTCTGGTGTGTGGAGCTTTCTGATTCGGGGAGGGCATGTGGCAGATTGAGGATGAAGAGACATGTCCGCCAGGGAGGGCTTTCCCACTCCTCAGAGAGCTCATGTCACTCAGCGGGGCTGGTGGGAGCAGCCCTCTGGCCAGCAGCAGCCTTGGGGGCTGGGCTCCCCTGCTGGTGCCCAGGCTGCCCCTTCGGGCTCTCACACACCCCAAGCATTGTTGGTCTCTGACTTTCACTCCGACCCGTAATCTATAATCTTACCGGGTCCTGAATCATACTCTGAACTTCCTCTTTGTGCGGGTGGCTTGTTGCTCTTACCAAGCTTTTAAACTGAAACCACAGAATAACTCAGCAAAGCTCTGCTTGGGTTTTTCCGATGGGACAGGAATTACCGGCCAGCAGATCCCTGAAACTCCACATAAAAACCTCTGCTCTCTGAGGAGAGCTGGGATCAGTCACAGCTGGAGTCTTCCCATTGGGTGGCTTGGTGCCAGGCAGATGGACACAGGCAACTCTTGCATTTTAAGCATGCCACTTTTTGTTTTCAGAAACAGCTTAATGTCTTGCTTAGAGGTTGAGTTTGTCAATGGTTTTCCATGAACCAAGCAGAAAAACTGGACATTTCTTCTAAAACTGGCCACCCTGAGCGCCCTGCTGATTCAGAGCAGAAGCGCCTCGGAGGGATTTCTCCTCAGGACTGTCCTTTCCGCCCAGCGGCTAAGAGCTGAATCACCAAGGAAATCTCACATGAAGAGGGAGGGGCAGAAAGTGAAGGCTTTATATTTCCTCTTCAGGGTTACAGCTCGCAGCTCACCTGCTGAACTGCCCCTTCACCCCCGGAAAGCAACAAAGGTAAAGAGGACTCCTATACCTGTACTTGGTGATTTCAGCTGTGTTTGTGCCAGAGAACTAGACGAGAGCAGTCGTATGGCAGCTGGACAGGTGTGAGGGAGTCCGACGAGCAGGCGTTGGATTAATATTCTTTAGTGGAGAGTGATTTTCTTGACTCCTTGATGAGCATATTAGCAGCTTGCTGAGCATTAACAAGGATTGAGTACATTTAATCCTGGAGGCACGCTGGCTGGGATTCAATCTCATGTGTTCATCAGAATGGACACTGTTGATATTTTCTCATTACTTGAGCAGATTCCTACTCAAAACAGATTTCCTAATATAGAGCTGAGGTCTCTGTGTTATGAACATGTTTGGGTTTTTCAGAAAATCTTGTACTCCTCATTCATTTCTCATGTGCAGGAAGGTGCCTTTACTTTTCTGGTGTCTGTGTTTTCAATATAAAATTTCTTGGCACTCACTGGTAAAAAGGTGTGGGCTGGGGCTTGTGTCTGTTTGATAGGGTGATTAGATTGAAGTGTTCTACTATTCCTAGAGATTGAGCATATAGAAAATATATGTCCTGTTGAATCTGTAGTGACACTCAGGATGGCCAGTATTTTGGAGAATTTCCAGTTTTCCTTCTTGGTTAATGGGAAAACATTTACAAACTCAACCTCTAGGCTAGACACATAAGGTCATAGTGAAAGTAAATGGCAGTGCTGGAGTGGAGAAGGGGAGGTGGACACTGAAAAAGCTGTCAGGAGAGAAGGGTCATGTGAAATGGGTAAGTGGCTACCTGGGCGTGAGCTGACATTTTGAAATCCTTGCGTTTGTTTCCCCCATGAAGCAGAGATGGCCCTCTGCCCTCTTGCAAATCCTTTGGGGTCTATTTTCCATTAAAAAAAATTATTTATTTATGTATACAAACCTGCAGTACAAAGGCAGAGGTTCAGGGGAAGTGAGAGGATTCACCAAAGACAGAGTGGGGAGCAGAACAGGCACACTGCTGAGGGGAGCAGCGGGTGGGTCAGGAGAGATCTGCTGTGCCATGTGGGTCACCTCCAGGGCTGGGGCTTGAACTCACACTGAAGCAGCTGCAGCCAGTTTGCAATGCAGTGTCCTAACTGATTGCGCCCCCAGGGAGGGCTCCTAGTTTCCCTTTTAAGACACAGTTAAAACTCCTGCAAATAGGCTTGCTGAACAGTAAGGTTCATGAATTAATTCTAACTACATATTTCCCCAATTTTTTTCAAAACTTAGAACTTCAACTTCTTGGTACAGGGAAGTACATGCTTAAAGAGTTATAAAGTCCTACTGTGCATGAAGCAAATAATACAGTATCAACTAACCACGATCAGCTGATCCTATTCATGCTTTTTATCTTGGTCAGATTTTCTGGATTTATTCTGCTAAATGCTACCCTTTAAAAATAGGGTCAAAAAATCATGGTACAAGAAAAATAAAACCATTTTATCTCCAAGGGAAGCTGATCTGCTTAGACTTTAGGAGAGAGATATGCTCGTGTTACCTCAAGGCTTCCTCCCTTACCGTGTGTGGGTTCCCAAGGTCTCCCCCACCCCCTGCATCTGTGATGTGTGTGTGGACACCCAGGGTGTGTGTGCTCAGCAACACACTATTTGTGTGGGAGCTGGAGGCCTTTGGGTGTCCGATGCTGGTACATAAAGTGGTAAGATGTGATGCTGAAGTACAAGCTCCGTGAGCTCTGTCATGAAATCTGTGTTCTCTTAGCACAGAGGGGACTGGACTGGGAGAGCTGGAGATGAGGTGACTAATTTTCATGAGGCCATCTGGGAAGAAGTTGGAGCTGCCTGAGAAGAGATAAGGTGTAATGGGGCGATTGCGGGAGAGAATTCCAGTGGTAGCTTGTGCAGGCTGAGAGACGAGTCCAGATCATTGTAAAGATAATCAGATGGGTCCTCCCTGGTGGTGCAAGGGGTTGAAGCACAGCACTGTCAAGCTATCCACAGCCACCGCAGCAAGCATTCAACCCCTGGCGAGAGAGTTGACTCACACAGTGCAGCAGACCTTTCCTGACCTGCCCACACTGCTCCCCACAGCAGCATATTTCCGTCAATCTACCTGTTGTGCTCCCCACTCTGTCTCTGGTGAATCCTCTCACTCCACTTCTGTATGCATAAGTAAATAAATATTTAAAAAAACAGAAAAGGGGATCAGACAACATCAGGAGGAGGGGGAGAGAGAAAGAGGAAGAAGAGAGGGAGAGAAAGGGGAGGTAGACAGAAGAGGAAGAGAGGAGAGAGAGAGCTCCGACCACCCTGTGAATTCTTGACTGGGTGGCATGGAGGTCCACCTCCATCATGCGCTCTGGAGAGTTTGCCCTGGTTTCTACTCTGTGGGGCATGCCAGGTTTCCAAGGCATGTTCCTACTACCTTCAGCTCTCCCACCTGCCATCTTTGGCCTCTGATTTCACACTCTTGTGTTATAAAATTTCTCTTTCAGTTTTTTGAGTCTCTGCTCATGTTGTTCTTTTTGTAGTAAAGGTCTCCCTATGCATAGCCACCTGGGTAGCTCTTCTTTTTTCAGGAAGCAATAGGGACATCATCTCTTTCAGGAATATTCCCTGTAACTCTTAGGTTGACTTTATGTCTTTCCTCAGTGCTTCCACAGAATTCCGTCTACACCTGTATATCTTGATGCTGATTGAAGACATTTTTTACTTCGTTTCTTCCTTCCATAGATATTTATTGAGTAGTTACTCAAACTGAGGTTAGTTGAGGTGCTGGAATAAGGCATACAAACCAAAGTCCTTGCTCTGTTGGTGGTTATACTCTGCAACGAGGGGAACAGACAATAAACTCATGTATATGGGATGTATAAATATACTTACATATATGTCTAATGTATAATATGTGTTATGAATTAAGGAGATGGGATGGAGTGAAATGGGAGGAAAGTGGGCTGATAGTTCAAAATGATGGTCAGTGAAAACCTTACTGTTAAGACACTAAGCAGAGAGAAGAGAGATGGATGAGGTGCTGGAGTGGGCCATCTTTGGGAAGAGCACCCCAGAATAGGGACAGAGAGTACAAAGCTCCGTAAGTGGTGTCTATTTGGTATGTTGAAAAAATATAAGGAGTGGAATGGCTGGAAGAGGTGAGCTGATGGGAAGCTGACAGGAAATGAGCTTGAGAAGTAGCAGGAATCAGACCATGAAGGGAAAGCCATTGGGGTGTTCGAACATAGGCTGTCAGCAGTTCTCAAGTGGCTAAAACCAAATGAACTGCTATTTTAGAAATATCTGTCTTCCTCAAAAAATACATCAGAGGAAGGTAAGGGCTGAGCTAGGAAAATGTATCAAGGTGACTTTCTGTAATCCAGGCATGGGTTGATAAGAGCTTTGGTCAGCATGGTATTTAGAAAAGGTAAGAGTTGAGCAGAGAGTGAATATTTTGAGGGAAAACAGGGTGTTTTGATAGATTGTTTATGATGTGAATGAGAGATTACTTAAGGATGGTCCCAAGATTTTTGGTCTGAACAGTAGAAGAACAGAGCAGTTATATATAGGGATGAAGGCTGTTGAGGAAGCAGTCTGGAGACAGGGTTAGGAAATCAGAATCTGATTTTGGGCTTGCTGGTAGACACTCCAATAGAGATGCAGAGTTGGCTACATGAATCTGGGATTCTGGGACAATATAAATTTGGAAGCTAACAGTATATCAATAACAAGAGATTACCTGTCTGAGAGTAAAAAGAGGCCAGGATTTGAATCCTCATTTATTGTGATCTATGAAGATTGTGACTAAAATCAAATGACAAAAAGGACTGAGAAGGAGCGGCTGGATGAGTAAGTGAACCAAGAGAAGCCTAAGACCTGGAATTTAAAGACAGGGTCTGATGGCAATGGAGTCTCCTGAAGAATACAACCTCCCTGAGGGTAAGCACGAGGCTGCAACATCTCTACAGTCCTGTACAGTTAGTGATGCTCAGTAAATCTTTGTGGGACAGAATAAAATAAATTCTTGGCTTTCCTTAGATAAGACAGAGCTTAGATTTTCCTTGCCAGTCCTCCATTTTCACTGACTTCATGGCTGTGACCATGGTGTGACGGATGTACCTGGTCTCATGGAGTGGCTTATTTGCCAGTATTGCCTAGATCTCATGGAGGGTGCAGGAAATGAGGTCCCAGCCAAGGGAATGAAAACGTGCAGGGAAAGTTGTCCAAATTTGCTTTGTTGATTATCACCTTGTATGTGCAGAGATGAAGAGAGTAGAGCCGTCTTCCTCCTGAGGCTGTGAAGTGGAGAGGCTGGTGGGAAAGTTCTGTGTCTGGCTGTATTTGTGTAGCTCAAGAATATTTTTGTACAAATTCCAGGATGAGGAGTGTCTGAAAGCATGGAAATTGAGAGCACGGAGATCCAATTTCTTCTGCTCCCTTGCTCCACACAATTACATTTCATTTTAAAATGTACACAATGATAGTGAGAGCTTTGAAAAGTCCATCAGATGTTAAAACGACTGTGACTTCCTTTTAGAATTGACTGATTTCTCAGAAATCATGATGGGTACGTGCTTCTTGATGAAACAGTGTGCTCTCAGGCTCTTAAATTCATGAAATGTAATAACTGAACTCTGGATATTATCTGTACCTCTAAGTGATATTCTGAGATCTTTGTTTTCTTTGTTCTCAGGTGGCACTTGGCATAAAATGGCTTCCCTCAGCACAGCAAATGTTGAATTTTGCCTTGATGTGTTCAAAGAGCTAAACAACAACAATCTAGGAGACAATATCTTCTTCTCCCCATTCAGTCTGCTTTATGCTCTAAGTATGCTCCTCCTGGGAGCCAGAGGAAACTGCGCAGAGCAGATGGAAAAGGTATGGAAAGCAGCAAAGCTTTCTCCACAGCTGGAAAGTCTTATACGCGCCTGCTGTGAGTCACCTCTATTCCAAGAAAACGCCGCCATCTTGTGAAGCTGAAGCCTGTTTAGACGAATTGTGTGTATTAAAAATGAATAGTGGCTTAGTGATGTGATGTGGCAGTTTCTTCCTTATTATCACAGTTGTTATAGATCAAACTTTACTTTTTGAGCTTTTCCTTTCAGTGATTTAAACATGACAGTCATGTATTTGGCACTATTCTTAGAAGATTAACTTGTAATAAAACTGAGTGACACTTTCAAAAAAAAAAAAAAAAAACTGAGTGACACTTTCAAAGTTACCAAGCTTGAAAAAAATATTCATTAGTATGTTGGAACTTTATAACCACCTGTGTCAGATAGGGATTATTATTCTTATTTTACAGTTGGGGAAACTGAGGCAAGAGACTGAGGGTAATTTCTCAGGTTACATGGGGCTCATCTGTAGATTCTTAGGGGCTCATCTGTAGAGGTTTTCCATTATGTATATTCTTAATTGCTTTGGAAAGTCTAGAAGAATGTCACTTAACAGCTCTTACTTACACATCTTTTATTCTTCATCCTTTTTCCTTTGTTCTATATGTTGATGTACTTCATGGTTTCCATGCAGTAGGTATTGTGTTGGGAAAACATGTGCTGTTGGACAGGACCCTGATGGCCAAGTCACAGGGAATGACCTGGAACAGCTGGAGAGGGACTGAAGAGCCCTGTGGACAAAACCTCATCCCTGGAACCTAATTGTAGTCTGGAGCAAGGCACTTAATCTCCCCTGAGTTCAGTTTCCCCTAAAGGATACATGGGGAATAGTATCTCCTCATCACATGTTGGGAGGGGCAAGTAAGGTATGTCATGGCTTAATCCATGGCTTGGAATATATCATTAAACGTTGGCTATTTCTATTAGTCTTGATCTGAAGTGGGAAAGCAGATCTCGATACTGCTGATCTGTAGAGACTGATCTTCCTTTCATTTTCCAGGTACTTCACTTTAATCATATTGCAGAATCATTAAAACCAGCGTTTAAGGACTCATCTAAGGTATGACTGTCCCTATTGAGCTGTCGAAAGCTCTTGAAATGAGGGGTACCAGGAAATAATGGTCTAGGTTGAACAGCAGAGCATCCCCTTTGGCCCAAGAGGGCACTCTGCATGTCTCCCTCGATTACTTCTTTAATCATCCTGGTAATTGCTACAGCCTCTAGAGTTTAACATAATGATAACAGTGATCACAGCAACGTTGAAAAAGTCCTCCAGATTTTATTACGTGATTGTCATTCTTACTCAAACTTTTTTCTTTTTTTATGGAGTGTGCCTCATGTGAGTGTCAGCGTCATCTGTCCAGTATGTGATGACTTTCTGTTCAACGAGGGCTCTGAGAGAGGACCATATAATGTCACGCAGGAAAAAGGGCCTTATATTCCCTAAGCCACGTGGTTTCGGACCAAGTTCTCCCCAATTTCTCTTCAGTCAAGGATTCCTTTTGACATTGAAATCATATAGAACTCTAGATTACTAAAACATATATAATGTTGTAAACCAGTGTTGCCTCAGGATAAAAAATAATTTAATAAAAAATTTAAAATGCTATTTCATGTACAACATGAAATAGTTGTACGTTTGCTTGAGATTGAGTAAATACATATGGACATCAAGATTCACAGAATACTTGCTGCACAGAATCTTTATTGTCAAAAGATTCAAAACCATACTCCGGGAGCTGCTGATTTAGGGAATATGAGCTTGACACTAACACCTCCATGACTTGGCAACCATCTCACAGATACAGCAAAGCTGCTTCTATGAGGGAGAGATGGGTGTGTGAGCGCAGCAGAGTGGAGGGGTGGGTGTGCGTGATCTAATAGTAACATAGAAATGGAAATATTGAAAAAGTGTGACAGGGAAGTGATTCTAGAGTGACAAAGGCAAAAACAGAACTCGGCCTATTTCCCTGGATACGTCACAAGGATCTCTCGATAATTCTTCTGCCTTGGGATGAAATCACGGGGGCAGATGAAAGCATGTGCGTTTTGAAACAGCTTATAATTCTGCACACAACCTGTAACCAAAATCACCGAGAACTGAGACTATTGTGCTAGAGGAAATCTAGAGAAGGAAATGCTTTAAACTTTTCAACTCCTTGATTGTTAGTATTCACGGCCCTTCTATGCAGAGGCAAATGCCTAGGCCTCTAGTTATTGTTTTCACATTATTTATAACTCTCCAGAAATCAGGCAATTTAATATTCTGTGCTTTGTTTCCTGTTGCTTCAGTGCAGCCAGACTGGAAGAATTCATTCCGAGTTGGGAGTCCTGTTCTCTCAACTCAAGCAGCCAGACTCTAACTACACCCTCAGCATCGCCAACCGACTCTATGGGACAAAGACAAAAACATTCCGTCAGGTAAATCCCACAGCAAGCTGGTCAACAGCTTTCCTGTCACCCTTTGAACTTCACATGAAGAATGGGAGCAGTCACAGGCTTTCATCATCAAGAGATTAGATTTGTGCTTCAGTGAAATGGTTTGCCACTCTCACTTACTATTGTGAAATATCATATCCGAGCTTTACTTCTGTAAAATTGCCAGAATTGTTGAGCATCATGGTCCGTGATGATGCACAAAGTAAAGGTAAGAAATATTCCATATGGACCCGAAGAAAAGCGAAATACATTTCTCATCTTAGTTTCAGTGGTGCTCAGTGGCAGAGAATGAATTGAGTGTTAGTGAAGTGCAGATCACTCTGTGAGTCAGGAGATGGGAGCTCTGTAAGCACTGTGACACGGGATCCAGAAAAGCCACTTCTACATTTAAAATGAGTTTTAGACAAAGTTCATGCTACCTCTGCTATGGCATTTCCCATCAGCATTGTATTATGTAGTGTGATGTTTGCTACTCTGCATCAGTCTTTCTACTTAATACAATATGGGCATTTTCTCATAGAGCCCTCACGTAGCCCAAGTTACAGTTATAAAATCACCATTATTTCTACAGTGGTGGAGTAGATTCTGAAAAGTCAAATTGACAAAAGACATAGATAGTAAAGTGGCAAAGCCTGGGTTGATCTTTATTCAAACTCATTGTTCTGATTTTGACTGCTACATCGTTCTTCTGAGCCTTAAGAAGATGCTGTGTCTTCAGCAGACTCTGTGTCTTCAGAGTTATTTAAATGCCAGCCAGGTAATACAAGATGAAACCCTGAATTTCTAATATTCTTCTTTGCTAGCCTGGAGGTGTGGACTGTATCCTGTATAAGACAAGCCTTTGATTGTCAGAATGTCTTCAGCCTGGGGTACCCACCCCGATATCATAGATATTTCACATGTGATTCCTCCTCCTGCCCGAGAATCATATAGGAAGCTTTATGGAGTGAGCCTGCTGGGGGTGGGAGGGGAGGAACAATATGGCCCTTGAAGCTGGAACATTCTTGAATCTCTCTGTCTTCCCAAAGCAGTGATGTGGCCGTGAGAAGAGATTCTTACTGCAATTGGTGACTGACGATGGCATCTGCTCAGAAGTCAGAAGCTCTGCATTAGCATCGTGGGGTTGTCATGATTTGTACTATGAGATATTATCATGGGTTCTTTCTGGAAAAATTGTCCATCTCATAGGCTGGGGCGTGGGGTGGGGGTGGGGCGCGTTGCTTAAGCATGACCCTGATACAACGGGATTCAGCACAGGACAAGAATCATCCCAAGGCCCACATTTTGCTCTTGGGTTTCCTTTGGTTCTGGGTTTAGGAACCAATGTACCCAGTTCCAGAAATAGCAACCAGGGGTACTGGCCACGCTCCTAAGTCTTCTCTCATTCCCCTCAGTTTGTGGTTGGGGGATTGGGTCCTGTGGGCTCCAGAGCTGTGTCCCCTCAATATGGAGAATGGATCCCATCATCACTGGGCTCTCAGAGAGCAGACTCCTGCCTTGGCAGGCAGGTGCTGGAAAGCACCCAGTTCTAGGAATCAGGGAATAGGAGGGGACTCCACAATGGTACAGGAGCCAGTGTGTGTGTGTAAAGTCAGCTCAAAGAGAGGGGTAGGTGTCTTGTACTGAATTTGCACAGTTTTTACTTGGACAACATATTATAGGTGAACAAAATAGTGAATTCATTAAGATGTTTTGTTTGCACTACAGAAAGTTGAAACATGTCAATTGCCTACATCAGCCATTACTGTCATTAATTTTATAGTAGTGACTTGGGGAAGGTTGACACCTACCACAGGCAGACTTAAACTTCTCCTGCACCTCAAACAAGTGAACCCCTTAAGTGCTCTGTTTTTTGTCTAGATCAGCACAGCAACTCCTGCTTTGAAAAAGGAACAGTAGGGACAGTGAAACGAAATGGACTATAGTGCAATTTGTCTTTTTAAAAAAAATGTTTTAGGTAAGACTGCCAAGGATTAGACAGAAAAAACAGACATTTCTGAGGATCTGTGTGGAAAGCTTCCTGATTTGTTCTAATCGATTTCTCTTATTAGGAATGAGCATTGGTGGATTCTGCTTCCTTTCTGATGGGTACAGCTGGCCCGCTCTTTCTGCAGGTCAGGACTTTAGTTACCTTGAACTGGAAGCTTTTATTTTTCTGTTTTCTTTTACAGCAATATTTAAATTGTTCTGAAAAACTGTATCAAGCCAGACTGCAAACTGTAGATTTTAAACAGGCTACAGAAGAAACAAGGAAAACTATTAATGCATGGGTTGCAAGTAAAACGAATGGTAAGAACAAAGGACCCATTCATGCGTTTGCACATTCTGTTGGGGCTGCTGGTAAACTCCCTGAATCAGCATCAGCAAAGACCCGCAGAAATCAGACCCTGGCGCTGGCACAGCAACAGTGGAGACAGTGGGGAGTATTTGGGTTTCTCACAGTCACATGTCTTCCACAGTGTAGGTCAGGTGACCAAGAATGAGAAGGACATTATTTTTATTCAGAGACGTGTGGTACATTCCACAATTAAGTCTGATGAATTTAAATCCACCTTTTGCAATCTTAAAATAAACACTATATATCACTAAATATTTATTTTAAAATGCCAGATTAAATATTTGATACAAAGCAAAGATATATTTGCTTTGTTATATAACACTTGATTTTAGCCAGGAGGCCAAGAAGTAATTGCTTTATTATTTAGAAAGTTGAGAAAAAATGTAGAGACTAACAGAGTCTCATTTCTTCACCACAGTATTTATTATTTAAGATTAATCTTGGATTTAAATATTTGTTCTCTTTCCATTCCCTCTTCCATACTCTTTTGGAACAAATTCCAGCTATTAGCTTTTTTTACCTGTTTATGTTTCAGTCAAACATACAGGTTATTTAAAAGGAAATAAACCACTAAGCCATGATAACATCTAGAAAATTAAAAACAATCATTTACTATTAACAAATATGCAGTGAATTTTCTAATTTCTCTAATTGCTTTTTGTACAAGTCAGGACACATGACCATATATTGTAATTGGTTGATAGAGCCCATAAATCTTCATTTTTAAAATAAACTTTTGGATATACATACTTATAAAAAATCATGCATTATCTGCTTGTTATTTGATAAGTATTTGGCACAGGTAGAAATCATCACAAAAGTGAATGCACTCACTGGTATAACTCCTTCCGGACCAGGAAAAGAGAACAGCAGTCACTGGGCAGGACACACTCTAAGGCCCTGGATTTTTCTTCCCAGAAACTAGCTTACCTCATATCCAAACTTTAAGATGTCTCTGAGTTATACTATTAATTGGTTCTGCCTATTAGAAAAAATTCATTTGATGGAATCAGAAAGCATGTGTGTTTTTCTTAGATCGTTTTGGTTGTGAAGTTCACCTGTGACTTACTCAGTGTCACTGATGTCTGTTTTGTTCTCTGGATATACCTAAATGCAGCAATCCATTTTACTACTTTTTATGAACTTTTGGAATATTTTGAGTTTGGGTCTATTATGCATAGTGTTGCTAGAAATATTTTGATACAATTGATACCATTTGATAAGATTCAGGTTTGTTTTGTTTTTACAAGTCAATTTTTTTACAAGTATATTTTGGCAGATATATATACTTCATTGGAGCTGTTGTGTTTTCAGCAGAAAGTAAATCGCAGTTGGGCCCTTCTCTCGTTTTACATTTTTTTGACGCCAGTGAAATTTGATGAGTATTGCCTGGGTTAATTACTTCATGATGGGCTATAAAATCACAGTATTCCAATTCTTGCATTCCTTTGTTATTTATATGCTAGAATATTTCTAGGTGAGAAACTTTGCCTCATAAAGTTACCCTAAAGTACAGTTCATATGAAAAAAGTCAAAACCAAAAACCATGCTTGAATTTCTCATTAATACTAGTTTTTAATATAATGTCCCCCCCCATTAACCCCAGCCTACCCCTCTTCACCCCACCCCCGCGGCCAACACTCTCCAATGGGAGCCCGTGAGTTTTCCTTGAAAAGTATCGTTATAAATTCACCAATTTGAGGTTTCCACATGGTCAGGAAAAAAGAGGTCTTGAGGCATCTCAAATGTACAATCAGCGTCTCCAAACGTCTTGTGGTTATTCAATTCTGTCATGCATAGTGTCAAATCTAAGTGCACCATCTTTTGTTTTCTGCTACAAGGAAAAATCAGAAACCTCTTTGCCAAGGGCGCGATCGACCCCTCCAGCGTGATGGTGCTGGTGAACGCCATATACTTCAAAGGACAATGGCAAAATAAATTTCAAGAGAGAGAGACGGTTAAAACTCCTTTTCAGCTAAGTGAGGTATTTCATTTTCAGACCACATTCTGGAGGATGCATAATTGTTTAAGGATGGTTAAGAAGTTTTAGTGAAAATACTGGTGTAGGTTTCCCGGTCCTTAATTATGCTTCCTGTGAACTTTGTCTCCATGTTTCCTCATGACAGTTGCCTGTCTCACAGGGTCTGAAGCTTCAGACCCTGGCTGCCTCACCTCCCACCCACCCTGTACGTTCGTTCTGTCTATGCTGTGGCTATTTTCCCTATCTGCATTATTTTCTCTCAGAAAACCTCCAAAGAGAAAATGATTCTGTGGTATCATTTCCCCATATAATTACTTTAGGTGGAAACAATGGCGTTGTTTCTGGGAAACACATGTTACTATATATAACCTCATATGTTTTTGATATCTATTGCAATATATTATTATGTATCCAAATTCTATGTTCAAACTGCCTTATGTCAGCAATAACTTATTTTAAAAGAAAAAAAAAAACCTCAAAAGCTTTGCAAAAGAAAGCTGTAAAGGGCTCACTGGCAGATTACATTTCTCCCACGCCTTCGCGATGTGAACGCAGACAGACCTCCAGACGGTCAGCAAGAAAGTCAGCTTATGGACCTGTGCACATGCACGGGGAACTGTACCCTTCTTGATATCCTTTTTTTTTTTTTTACAAATAGGGTAAAAGTGTAGTCGTAGATATGATGTACCAAACAGGAACATTTAAACTGGCCTTCATCAAGGAGCCTCACATGCAAGTCCTGGAACTGCCGTATATTAACAAACAACTGAGCATGATCATTCTGCTTCCAGTGGGCACAGCCGACCTGGAGCAGGTGAGGCACCGATCGCCATAGCGTGCTGCACACCTGTGGACACACACACGTGCCCATACGCGCACGCACCGTGGCCCGCGAGTCACTGAGTCTGAGTCGTTCTCAATATTTAGCAAAAATGCCCAGGGGCCGGGACGGGGAGGGGAGCACCTGCTGCCTGCCATGTATTTCGGGAGAATAATTTCTTGCACAAATGCACGCGCCTATCAGCCTGCCACGGGTGGGGAACACCTTCCCGTAGGCGTGGGTACCCCGCAGATGCGGCCTGGTGCACAGAAATCCGATTCCGCCACTCTCCTGTCAGAGCAGTTTGCCAGATTCACTGGAACGCGCCTCCGTGGGCTCACTGGCGTTCTTCATGCTGGGTTTGTTGGAAAACGAACCCGCCGGGCCTTGAGGAGTGACCGCCATGGTGGCAGGTCTCCCTGGCCCCCACCCTTGGCCTCGTCCTCCAGCCCCCAGCGCACAGCAGACCTGGAGAAGGGGTGACCACTCCGCCCCAGGCTCACTGGGTTCTCTGCTGGAGGGAAAGTGACGCCGGCTCCGGCAGCCCAGCGGCCTCCAGGACTCTGGGGGCCCAGGCAGAGCTGGGTGCTGGGGCTGGCTGAAGTGTGAGTCAGGGAGGCTTCAATGGGCCCATGAGGAGGGATGTGACTGTGGACTCTTAGGAAGAGCTGTGGGTGGCAGCCTGCAGAGCAGGGTCATTTGGTGGTCACCAGGGCAGGCTCAGCCTCCAGGCCCCGGTAAGGGGTGAACTCCTTGTGAAGATGTTTGCAGGCCTAGAGCATTTTGGAAGCTGGTCAGGCCTGGTCTTGTTTTTTTTTTTTTTTAATAATATAATAGCTTATTTTTACATCACGTTGTGCATTTTTCTATCTCAGTTGTATGGTCTTGGTTTCAAGGAGACTCATTTCCTTACTTGTTTGCTTGTTCATTATGCACCAAACATTGGGTGTCCTTATGAACAGGAAACTCTGCTGGGTTTGTTACAGGGCACCCCACTGTGAGCTGGGCCACCTGTCCATGGGGCCTCACCTGCATGCTTAAAATTCAGGTATACTGCAGGTGCACACAAAAGGGTCAACATGGGTTTATTTACAAAAGGGGAAAGGAACAGGGAACAACCCAGGGCAAGAGAGAGAGATACAAGGTAACTAGAATATCTTACCTGCTCGGCTGACTGAAAACACCCAGTCATGTGGTCCGGAGAACCTTTCCCCGCCTAGCGAGAGACACAATGGTGCCCTATTTATCCCCCAATGTCCCAGAATTCCTGCTACCTCTGCCTGTGGGTCCTCACACTTCTCTCCCTGGTACTGCTGGGAGTTGTAGTTTCCAGTCACTGGAGTAGGGGGTGGAATACAGAAAGCTGGAGTAGGGGGTGGGTTCAACAAGACTCTGCAAGGTTCCTTTAGGACACCCTTCCCCTTAACAGGCTCTGGAAACAGAGATTGGTATGTGCACCCAACAGCGTTGCAAATACCACTAAAACACACCAGGCCAGTCTCTGCAGAGAGCCCCAAGGAAGGGGAGGGGCTAGTTAGACTACACCAGCAGCTGGGTTTCCTAGGAATCTCCAGGGCGGACCCATGGGCTAAGCAGAAGATAAATGGCCTTATAAGGCACCCTGGTTTCCTACCAGAGCAAAGAGCAGGTGTGAACCCTTAGAGTGCAATGGGTTGTGTCCTGAACTCATGGGACCGAGGGTTAGGGCTGAACAGGACAGGAGAGAAAGGTACTGAGGAGGAAAATCTACCTCTACTTAATATGTTGGTCAGGATGGGGAGAAGGTGACAAGAATCCTTCAGCCCTAGAATGATGGGGTTGCAGTCAGGGAGGGCTTCCCAGGGGAGGTGTTGGGAGGGTTTACAGACATTAGCAAACTCGGTGGAGAATGAGAAGGCAGGTTGTGTGGCTGCTGAGGGCAATCTGTGCACCCAGATTTTTTTTTTTAAGTTTAGCTTTTATTTCTAAGGAGTCTTAATCAGGGCCATACTTTTCACTTAATTGTTCCCACCAGTTGTTAACCATCAAACAGGAAAATCATCATGGATGCTGGGGACTGGATTGCCAGGTGGAAGCAGAGGGAGGCTGGGGTCCAGCTTGCAGAAAACAGCACAGTGACAAGGAAGGCAGACACGAGGGGTGTGAGCAGAGGGAACGAGGCCTCTGAGGAACAAATTGACGGGGTGGGGACCAAGCACCTTGAAATGTTCCATCTAAGGGAACCAACAAGCAACAGCCAGCTCATCCAGGAGAGGGAGACCGAGGCAGCAGGAGTTGAGGTGAAGCTGGTGTGCTGAGAGACTGAAGGGGTAGGGCAGTAGTAGGATGTGTTTCAAAAGTTTAATTATGAAATATCACCGGGACACAGATGACAGGAAAGGGAAGAGGCACAGCGTGCGTGACTATGGTTTGGTTCCTGATGGGACTGGCTCACGTTTTAAGTTTAGGAGAGGAAGCTGTGGCTTCTCAGCTGTGGCTGAGTCACACACAAGGAGAGTTAGAGAGGGAGCAGTGCTCAGGGCAGGGTGCTTACTCTGAGCGGTGGACTCAGCTGTGTTTTGTCTCTCAGATAGAAAAGCAGCTGAACCTGAAGACGTTTTCCGAGTGGACCAGCACGTCTAACATGGTGGAAAGGGAAGTTGATGTGCACATCCCTCGCTTCACACTGGACATCAAGTATGAGCTCAATTCCCTGCTCAAGTCCCTGGGCATGACAGATGTCTTCAGCCAGATCAAAGCAGACCTTTCTGGAATTTCTCCAGGAAAGGGTCTGTACTTGTCAAAGATCATCCACAAGGCCTACGTGGATGTCAATGAAGAGGGCACCGAGGCGGCGGCTGCCACTGGGGACAACCTTGTGGTCAAAAGACTCCCCATCCGCGCTCAGTTCATGGCGAATCACCCCTTCCTGTTCTTCATAAGGCACGTTCATGCCAACACCATTCTCTTCTGCGGCAAGCTCGCTTCTCCCTAGGGTGACGGGGTTGAGCCAGGCCCAGGGCTCAGGTGACGAAGCCGGAGGCAGCACCGTGTCTTGCACCTGGGTCTGCTCACCTGCACGGCGGGTCTAGGCTCTTCCCCAAACGATTCCAAGGGTTGGTGAACCCTGAGGTTGTGGTGGTCATGGAAGAAGTTCTATTTATTAAAAAAAAAAAAAAAAGCTTTTCTGCCTCTCTTATCTTCGGAACCTCATCTGAGTGCTGTCTGGGGGATTTGATCAAGCTGATGAAAAGATTTAGGGGTTAGATGTTCTTCACTTATGTCCGTCTGTGGCTCTGAAGTAAGGGGACCCTCCCCCTTCTGAAGACTGTGGGAGAGATCCAGTTCTGGGTGGATGTTTAAATTCTGTAATTTGCCTTGTATGGGGAAATGTAACATGAATTTCAGTTCAAAATTCTGTATTTACTATAGTAAGTCCATGAAATGAATCCTTTGGGGAGACTATATTGCAGTGATTAAATGACTATGAAAAGAAACATTTTTAATAAGTGTCTAATTCAGTGAACAATGAAGTGAAATTTGGGCAAAATCCTCCTGCCCTCCTTCCAGCCCTTCTTCCTTCCTGTTTCCCTCCTTGGCTTTCTTCCTTCCTCCCTTCTTTCCTCATTTCATCCCATCTTTTATTCCATCTTCCCATCCCTCTCCCTCCCCTTCCTTCCTTTTCCCTGAAAAGTGGGCTCAGACAGGCAGAAGACATAAATCAATCAAAAGTTACCCAAGGGCCACCCCTTGGTGCCTCCTGGGACCCTCTAGGTACCTGCTTCTTCCTGAAAACCCTAGAAGGCTGGACAGAGCAAAAGGGGACTTCTGTCCTCCCATGCTGTCTAGAGAGCAGTTGCAAAAGTGATGGAAAGTTCTGACGTTAAAGCTGACACCACACTCCGCACCTGCCAGGTTTGCTCATGGGCTGCTTTGGGTTCTCTGGGCACAATACTGCCCCCTCCTGCTGAATAGATTTCGGCCCGAGGGTCAATCCCACAGCCCTACCTGAAGCTCCTTGTCTTTCTGGAAGGAACCCTTTCTCATGATTGAGATTTGGTGAGTATTTTCCATTGGATTTTAGGGAGGGGCAGGGCAAGTTTCATTTCTTACTTATGGCTCACAAGCCAAAAATATGTGTTGTCTGACTCATTACTAAAGATGAGTGTGGATCTGTTTTGGGGGTGAAATATCTTGACCCCTCAGACAAGGTCTCACTCTGGAGTCTTTCCCCTGTACTGGCAGAACACCATCATTTCCAGTCCTTTGCATGCTCTGGAAACTCCATTTGGCTCACCGGCCCTGATGGCTGTTTTCTGCCAGGTGGGGTGGATACCCACTCTGATGTACAGGTATGCCTGACCTAGGACTCAAGGAAACTCATGCACAGCTTTCTGGCCACCCATGCCGTTCAGCTCCCTCCTCTCTGCATCCTGTTCCCAAATTCTAATTCGAAGCCTGACTGCTAACCTCTGGTCTTCTGTCCAGCAGGAGAAAAGCTTTCTGGAAGGATTTTATCTGTAGAGAGCCTGGGTCTTGGAACTCACTTGAAGGGAGGTCCTAAGAGCATGGCCTTGGGTGACCTGTACTTTGTCCAGTTTTATAGTAATTTACCACGGGAGAGTGAGTCTGACACCCATGACTTCATGAGAGTCAGAACCAGACATTCATTCTGGAAAGGTCACGTGGGCTTCCAAATGGCCATCTTTATGATGGGAAAGATGCATTATGAACTACATGAAAGACATCACAAAGGATGTTTGCCATAGTAATAATCCCTTTGGCAGGAGAAGAATAACTTAGAGGTGGGGATAAAATGCCTGTTCGTGGTTTATTTGGGTTGTAGGTAGATAGTATATCTGACACGTTCAGAGTCCAACTGTGGCGCCTTCAGTGGCTTCACTGGGTGATGGAATTGTCCAGTCATGTGGGTGTGAGTCAGTTACCCACAGCAGCCCTGCTGGGGTTGTGCCAAGATTCTCCAATCTGGCCCCAAGCATCGTTGACCATCATTGTTGAAAAGATCCTTTGTTAAGAAGGGATAAAACCAGAGTGGGATTTGACAGTGCTTCTAGGTTCTATACGCAATGTCCACATTTGTCGAGTTTTTAAACAGTGCTTTCTGTTAGTTACATCTCTAGGCATCCATGTATATCCTGTGTCTCCAGACTACACGAAACGAACAATCTCCTTCTGTCTTAGACCTCATTGGCTAATGTGACTCCTTCTGAATCCTCCTTTCTTCACTGGTCTCCCCTCTCTCCCTTGCTCACTGCCTCAATCTACCTGACTCCCTGCTACCACACAACAGTGGTGAGGCCTTTAACGATTAACCAGCCACATCCAGAACTGACCTGAGGCAGGGGTCCCTGAATCCCATGAGCTGCTTTGGTCTCTCCAAAGGACCTTCGGATTTGGCAGGGTGGTTGGGGGGGGGCATGTCAGGATTTGCAGTGATGAACACTCTGGCCAGCGCTAACGCCATTTAGCCCATCCTTCTTGACTCAGGATGCCCTGGCTTTGTTCGGGGGTGGTGCAGAGGCGATTTGAACTGTCCCCTGAAGCATCTTCTACCAAGCAGACCCCCATAACTCTAATCTGCTGTCACTCGTTCACCAGGGCTGAGACTTAGAAGATGTTGGCAACTTGTTAAAGTTCACATTATTACTTGTACAGCCAAGATGTGAACCCAAGCCCCTTGGCTGCAGAGAGCTTGCCCTGTCTTCTGAGCTATTGGTTAATGTTACTTGGAGAAGTTGGAGGTGGGGTTAGACAGGCAGTTTGGACACCCAGTCTTTTTTTTTTTTTTTTTTTAAAGATTTATTTATTTATTCGTACAGAACTGGGGTACAGGCCAGAGATGTGGAGGGTGAGAGGATTCACCAGAGACAGAGTGGAGAGCAGAACAGGCAGATCGACAAAGTACACTGCTGAGGGGAGCAGCGGGCGGGTCAGGAGAGGTCTGCCTCGCCATGTGGTCGCCTCCGGGGCAGGCGGGAATCGAACTCATGCGTAGGTGGCTTTAGTTTCTCAGAGCAGTGCTTTAACCCGCTGCGCCAACAGGGAGGGCCCCAGGACACCCAGTCTTTTTAAAGATTATTTATGCACACAAGAACTGAGGTACAGATCAGAGGTGTGTGTGTCGGGGGGGGGGGCAGTGAGAGAATTCACCGGAGACAGAGTAGGGAGCAGAACAGGTAGATTTACTGAAATCCACTGCTGAGGGGAGCCGTGGGCGGGTCAGGAGAAGTCTGCTGTGCCCTGTGGTCAGCTCCCTGGCTGGGGCTCGAACTCGTGCTGTGGTGGCTGTGGACAGTTTCCTAGTGCTGTGCTTTAACCCATTGTGCCACCAGGGAGGGACCAGAGACCCAGGTTTAAGTCTGCTTTTGCCACAGCTTTTTAAAATCCTTTATTTCTTCCTTAACATTCTGTGCCAATGGTAGTTTGAGGATGAAGTCCTCTGTAGTTCTGTTTCTCATCACTAGGTGACAGACTTGATTGCAGGAAGGAGTGGAGGATTGCTAGATGGATGGTCCTTAATTTGTCAGTCTTATCCGGAGTCATGTAGGCTGCTTTAATAGGGAATTGTACATATTTGCTAAATTTCTGCTCATTAAATTTCTTTGAACTTGCGTTTAGTAGCTCCCCTTTACTTCTTTATTATTTTTTCTAATGCATACATATTTAGTCAATATCTGCAGGAGTATAAATGAGATATTGGAGCATTTAGCTGCCTCTTCATGGCTATGTCTCAAATAGTACCTTGCTGATGCTATGAGCATAACATTATTTGAAATTTTACTTTCTTTTTATCATGTTCTAAGCACTTCATTAAAAATACTTTAAATTTTATATGAACGTTAGTTTTCAGGAAAAGTATCCATAGTACAAAGATGTTCAATCTCTCACTCCCTTCTTCAGGCTGAACATCTTCGATAACCGTGCCACAGAGAACGAGGCTAAAGACAACAGCGGTTTGGTTTAATCAGTCAAAGGAAAAACCTTATTTGAATTTTGCTGATTTTCCCACTGATTTCCATTTTCAGTTCTGGGATCACATTCAGGTTCGACGGCTCATTTAACTATTATTGCTTCTTAGTCTCCTCCAGCCGGTCATAGCTCCTCGGTCTCTCCTTGGCAGCTTTGAAAGGTTTTGGTGCCTTATTTTACAGAACAATCGATTGATTTGGACTTGTCTGATCAGTCCCCTGCTAGAGTGAGGTTACACATTTGGGGAAGAAAATCAAAAGAAAGCTGTGTCACCGGAGCTCAAGACCACAATGCCTTCTTGCTGGTGATGTTTATCCTGACAACTTGGGTAATTTCAACGTTTCTCCAAGGCCAACTTGAATTTTTGTCCCTTTGTGGTTAATAAGTTTACATTTGAGGAGCTGTTTTAGAGACAATGTGAATCTTCGATTTCTCAAATGTTGTCCACAAACGTTGGCATCTGTGTTTTCTCTATGACTCCGTTAGCCATCGGGTACTGCTAGTATGCTGTTAGTCTCATTGTTTATTCTGAAGGACCCAAAGTCCTTCCACTGGCAAGGACACGAGAGGAAGGCAAGTATGCATGCTGTAACAATGGCTGTTGCTTGCTTTGGATAAAGTTTCTTTGCTGAAGTGAAATTATATTCTTGAACTGCACCTCTCGGGACCTCAGTGTAGATGTTTCTGAAGTGAGAAGTTGTGCTCTGAGAAGAACATTGGCTGCAAATGTCAACAATAATTAAGTAAATAGGTTGTACCTTCACCTCAATCTATTGTAAATATAAAGGGATGTATTTCCAAAATTTGCTCAAGGGTATATACATAAGAAATCATAGGTATTCAGAATGTAATAAAAACCCATTAGTAATTCTTCCCTTAATTATCTTTCTTTAGAATGTTTATTGATTTATGCATATAAAAACTGGGGTACAGGGCCCTCCCTGGTGGCGCAGTGGGTTAAAGCACAGCACTGAGAATCTAAAGCCGCTTCCTCATGAGTTCGATTCCCGCCTGCCCCGGAGGTGACCACATGGCGTGGCAGACCTCTCCTGACCTGCCCGCTGCTCCCCTCAGCAGTGTACTTCGTTGATCTGCCTGTTGTGCTCCCCACTCTGTCTCTGGAGAAGCCTCTCACCGCCCCTGAGCCTCTGGCCTGTACCCCAGTTCTGTATGCACAAATAAATAAATCTTTAAAAAAAAACTGGGGTACAGGTCTGAGATGTGTGGGGGCGGTGCTGGGGACCAAACTCCTGCAGCAGTGGCTGGCAGAGACAGCTTTAGTGCTGCACTTTAAACCCTTGCACCACCAGGAAGGCCCTTAACTCTAACTCTTGCAAAATTGTACCAACGTCTTTACAGAATTCCCGCCTGTATATATATGCATATCTTTAAATTTCTACCTAAAAGTACATCACATTGCAAACACCAGGATAACTGTGCTTTTTGTGCTTTGATTTTGGACATATTTTTGTGTCAC